ACTTAATTAAAATGATTTATTCAAACTAATACATATATAAATGTTACCTGCATGTTAGAAACATTTTAAGTAAAAACTTACTTCTTTGTCTGAGCTGTCTGCATGATGTACAACATTATTTATTTTGTCAGTCAACCTTACCTGCTTATAATACAGTAAATTAAATAAAATGATAAAGGTAAAATAAAAGAACTTATGCACACACCATTATATTCAAAAATTTGTTATATTTTTACTTTTCTATTTAAAACATATCAAATATAACAAATATGTAATTTATAAAGTATAGTAATGTAAAAGCATAATAAAAATATCAAAGTGTGTGCATAAATTAATTTATTTTAACTAAAGACGAGCACTTTACCTTAGTTAAATATAAACAAATAAAAATAATTGTATTATAATAAATAATAGTATATTATTCATAAATATTGCTTTTATATGCTTATATTTAACTATGAAGTAAAATCTTGTGCATTAATTAACTTTCTGATATTTTTAAAACATTACAACAGTTTTCCTTCTCCAACTAAGTGGTTCTTGAAACATCCTTACAAGTTGAATGCCAAAGATTACGTTTATATCTTTTCTGGTTATTTTAAACTCAATTCACCATTTTATTTTGACAGCTTTTGAACTATTTTAAATATTAAATGCATATAAAAACTGACGATGTTATAAATGATATAAACGATGAACAACATTATTTATATTGCCATTTAAACCTGTCGGCTTATAATGTAGAAAATTAAATAAAGTAATAAAGTAAATATAAAAGAATTTACAAACAATATTTGTATTACATTATTTACAAAAAGATAAAAACAACTTAATAGAACTAAAGTTGAATAGAACATTTATCATAAAAAAAACGTTTTTTAATACTTGATGAATATTTACTATACAATAAACTTCAAGCATTTTTATGTAATATAAGGCTATTATAAAAAAAATAAAAAAGATCGTACTAGTTATTTTTTGTACATTAGTTATCTAATCTTATTATCTTATTTTCGTTATCTAATCTTATCTGATATACTGCTTATATATTAATATATTAGATAAGTGTGCTTAATATGTTAGATAAGTTTTATAATAATTATTATATTAGTTTTAATGTACATTAGATTTCCCTATGTACATTAATACACTAGTTATTTAATGTAGATTAAAACTAAACGTTTATTTGTTGTAAAATAATAATTATTTGGCAAATAATTTGCCAAATAAGCATTAAAATTCAAACTTGTTTAGTTGACATACTTGCTATACTACTGTAAGTTAGGCAAAGTAAGCAAAGCTACTGGAAACAGTTAAAATAAGTATATGCATGAATGATATATAATTAAAATTAATTAAAAATAGTCCATTTTATAATGCATTTTAATATGATAAATATATCTAGTTGTTTATGTCTGTATGTTTAGTTTGAATCATATAAATGTGATGCATTATAAAAAACATATAATTTATAGTCTTATTAAACACAGAAAAACAGAAGAATGCAGTACTATTGTTTACTCAAGTTAAAAGTAATCGTATTTCTACGAGCTATGACACCATCTTTAAAAGCGCATTCGTAACAACCACGGTGCAGCATAAGCCATGAAAAAAAAACCATGGTTCACCCCACTGATCTTTATAATAACGTTATTATAGAGATCAGTGGATTCACCCATGGAAATTCCATGAAATTTCGATTTTCATGAAATTCATCCATGGAAATTCCATGGAATTTCTGTTTTCCGTGGGAAAACCATGGTTCACTTATGGAGTTCCATGGGTTTTCCATGAAATACTTCCGTAAGAGAAGTCCTAAAACTTTAAAAGATAGTCGTATTAAATCAGGTATGCAAGGTACTAAACCATATGCTTTTGTTTTACCTTTTTTTATATATGTTTTTTAGAGAAGAATAAAAGTATTTGACTTTAATGACCTATTTGCATGAGTGTTGTAACTTGCAAAATATTTTGATAGGTGGCTCTGGCATATCTTCACGTAGTGTCTATCGTTAGAAATGATTGTTATAGTGGTCCATTTATGAAATTGATTATTATAATTATATACTTGAAGCCAAGACAACTACTTAAGCTTAAGGTTTAAATTATTTAATTTAAATTTAATTAGGGCAATAAATATTATTATTATTATTATTAGCACGCATAGTTACGCATTGTTACGCCTATTATTCGTTTTGTTAATTACGGTTCTATATTCTGTAAAATACACTATTTCTTAGTTTTTTAAGTTGTTTCTAGACTTTTCTAAGCGCGGTTATATATTCCACGCGGTCTTTCGAGTAAAATCAGCAAACAAATTGGAGTTGATACACTTTTTTTCAAGAAGAATTTGTTGTTCATTTTTTTAAATAAAAGTTTAAATAATTGTTAGTTTGTTGTTGCTTATTTTTATTTTTTCTAATTTTTGTAGTCTGCTTTTATTTTTTAGAAGAAGTTAAAACTAAAATGACTGGTAAAATAGTTTTTTTAGTAAAATGTTACTTTTATAGTAAGCTGTTTCAGTTTCGTCGTTAGTCTTTTTAGAACAAGTATTGTTTTATTTTTTAGAGCAGTTAAGAGAAACTGATCGTAAGTTCAATTTTTATTTTATTGTTACAGTAAAAAATTTTACAAGTATTTTCTTATTATACTTTTTATATCTAAATTAATTTGAGTTGGAACTCAGATTGGAGATTGAGTCTACACTAATTTGAGTTGGAACCTGTTTAATGAAATTACCTTGCAGATATGGGAATCCAGCTCATATGATTTAACGGTATTCTTGCAAAAACTGCACTCAGCATTTGGAGAATCCAGAATCTAAATTTATATATAAAACAAACTTTCAAAAATGTTGTTACTTTCTACAACAATAAGTACAAAACACAATAGGCAGACTACATTGCTACAGATTTTTTTTAAATTTAAGCAAACTTGAATTAAACTTTAATGTGCACATTTATATACGGTAAAGTATAATTAATTAAAGTAATCTGATTAGTAAGAGGTTCTAAAGACAAATCGATTTGAACATGTATATTGTAGATAACACTTAAACCTAATCGACACGAGTCTTAACCAAGGAATGGTGTAACCACTTGATCTCATGGCAATAGGAACTAATCCACGAACTCCAAAACCACCAAAAACAGCTTTATACAATTTAAATGCTCTTTTTAGAGGTTTCAATTTATCTAAAGTTTTAACAAAAGCGTTGCGATCAGCTTTTTTGTCATTAAAAGTTATTTTTTTCCATCCAAGTCCTTCAGCAGCATGCATGTCATTAATTTCTTGATTCAAGGTATGTCGTGCAGAACATTTGGACAAAGTAATCTTTGGTTGATAGAATACATTTTTCTTTCTTTGCCTTAAAATACCAGATTTCAAATAGACTAGACTAAACAAGTTTAGCTCAGACTATGGCAGGGCATGGCCGAGGACACGGTTTTTAAACTGGAGCAGCACAATCTTCAATTTCTAAAAAATATTCTAAATATCTTGAATTTTCTTGAAAAAAAAAATTCAAATAAAGTGGGGAGCACGTGCCTTCCCCCCCCCCCCTCCTTAGTGTTGTCGGCTCTACTGAGCCGCTGAGTCATTAAATTATGAAAATAAGAATACCACAAGCAAACTAATAAAAATGTGATTTTAAATTCTATCAAAAACTTTTTTGTAAACTTCTATTATTTAGTGAAGTGAGCTGTAACTCTTTACACAAAAAAAATAATTTACAATATGAAATGACCTTTAAAGAAATTCGTGACACAAAATTAATAAAAATGAAAGTAAATCAACATTTATTGGTTTAGATGATAATGCTATGAAAATAAAATAATTTTCTAATTAAATAAATCCTTTATGCTTAATAAAAATATAATTATCCGGTCAAAATAATCATTTCAATCTACAATAATTCACATAGAGCTGAAAATTGGAACATACCTGTGAGACATTATTACAAATCAAGTATTAAAAGTCTCTATCGATCCCCAAAAATTATTCAAGGTCAAAAGTATAAATAAAAAAGATTTTTTTAAAAAAATTGTCTTTATACATTTTCATAAGAATCATTATTCTTGAGATATTGCAATTCTTGCGAAAATATATTGGGAAAAGATATTGCAAGAATATATTGCAATAAAAATATATTGCAAAAATATATTAAAGATGTTGCGTTTTTATATAAATTATAATGCTAGAAAAGCCATTACAATTCTTGTGAAACTACGAAATTAATATACGAATTATATATATATATATATATATATATATATATATATATATATATATATATATATATATATATATGTATATATTTATGTATATATTTATGTATATATATATATATATATATATATATATATATATACATATATATATATATATATATATATATATATATGTATATATTTATGTATATATTCATGTATATATATATATATATATATATATATATATATATATATATATATATATATACATATATACATATATATATATATATACATATATATATATATATATACATATATATATATATATAGATATATATATATATATATATATATATATATATATATATATATGTATATATATATATATATATATATATATATATATATATATATATATATATATATATATATATATGTATATATGTATATATATATATATATATATATATATATATATATATATATATATATGTATATATGTATATATATATATATATATATATATATATATATATATATATATATATATATATATATATATATATATATATATATATACAGGGGTGCGCAGGTTATCGCAGAAAAATAAAAATATTTATATCTCAAAAATGGCTTTTATTTTCAAAGTAAAACTTTTCCCAATACCAAATCACATATATTTTTACTCAAAAACACTAATGAATTTCAAAGTAGCCTCCTTTGGCATCAATGATACTCTTCAAACGCTCTGGAACTGACTCACAGCATCGTCGCACCATGTCCGGACTAAGATTCTTCCAGATCTTCTTCAGGAACAAAAACAAGGGGAGTTTTTGACCCATCAGAGCACACACCTGGCCAAACCATGACGCCCACAGCGTGCTGTCTCTTTGGAATAGACCTCAGTTCCAAAGGAACTGTTCTTCTGGACTTACCAAGAACTCTGTCATTGTATCTGTTGGGTTCTGGTTCAACTGTGAAAGTTTTTTCATCACTGTAAACGATAGGGACATCTTTGTGGTCTTTGAACCAATTTAGTAACTCTTTTGATCTTTTGCGTCTTTTGGCTCTAGTTGCCTCACTTAGAAGTTGTCTTTTTGACTTGACAAGGCTCTTCATACCCAGATCATCGTGGACAACACGTTGCATAGTCCTTCGAGACACACCTGCTTCTCTAGCTAAGGATGAAATTGACCTGTTTGGGTTTCGTCGTACTTTGCAGTCGATCGAATTTCGAAGTTCTTTAGTTCTCACATAACGATTTGGGCCTGTTTTTTTTCTTTTGTAATTTTTTCCAGTTTCTACGTCTTTTTAGAGTCTGTAGACGTTGGAATTATGTAGCTGTCCCTTCACGGCTTTGCAAATTTTAACTTTTTTTACACCACGTTTCCATAGATCAAAAACAAGTTTTCTTGCATTTTCATTTTGCGTGCTGTCAAATCGTGCCATTTTTTACAACTAAATTAGTGAAAAACGGCATTTTTTAAGGATTAACCTGTTGAACTGTGTTGCATTTTCCCGTTTATGTATTATATACTCGTATTAGTGTGATGTATTATATATTAGTTTCTTCTTCGCTTTCTTCTTGTTTGTAGTCATCTTCTTTTTCAAGCTAGTTATGGGAAAAAAGATACATCAATTGTCTCTTCATTGATATCATTAAAATCATCATTTAATGAATTTGATTCAACATTGAAGCAAGACTGGTCTCGGTATTAAGTACATACCGATGAACAAAATAACAGGACCTTTTTAAAACTACATTTTGCACTACAACCCTTTTTGCAATTGCAGAAGATGGTGTTAAAAGTTTTTTACATAAATAACAAACAAAGATAAATCAACTTACGGGTGAGTCAACACCGCGCCAGAGGTTCAGACAGAACACAAACATACATAAAAAACATATAGTAACTTGCGGGTGAGCGAACACCGCGCCAGAGGTTCAGATAGAACACAGACACATAAAAAACATAAATGGTTAACTAAATAACTTGATCGATTAAGTAGTTTAGTTAACCATTTTATGGTCCACAATTATGGACCATAATATGGTTAACTAAATCACTAAATCAAAATAACTATAGTAATTTTATTTTAAAAAGATATTAAAAAAATTAACTGGAGTATAGAGTAACAACCAAGAACGTAAAGATGTACAAAAAACTGTCTATAAATCGAGTCAATAAATAAGAAGCAATAGCTGAATAACAACATTTATTTTGTACAGTTAGTATTTATCTTTATTCGAATATATTCGACTAAAGGTCGTCTTCAAAAGACGTTCAGAATACACATTTGTTTCGCATACCTTTGTCGTCTCAAATAAAAACTTAAAAATAAAGTATTTAAAACATTTTTAAAAGATGACTTTAGTCTTTTAAAAACGTTTTAAACACGTATTATATTTATTTGCGAAAGATATTTTTTATATATAGAAATAATACGTATTTAAAACGTCTCTTAAAGATAAGTTTTATATTTAGCTAAAACTCATCTTAAAAATTTGTTTTTAATGCTTATTTTTATCGTCTACTGTAAAAGATGTAAATAATATTATAATAATACGTATTAAATACGTCTTGTCCTTGCTAGGTAGGTGTGTTAAGATATTTAGGTAGAAACATGATTCCATAGCGTAAAGTTAGGTGACGTAATGTTTTTTTTTTGGCGAATAATTAAGTATTTAAGATGCAAAAAGCATTGTTAAATTATTTGTTTTATGCAATAGTTTTATGTGAATATTTAATTATTGGTCATGCGTGGTAAAATGTTTTTATCAAATAGTAACTCAATACAAAATTTGTGAAACATGATTTTATACTATAATACAAATGTTTTTATACAATTTATATTTAAATCATGATATAAGAATATTATTTGTGATCATAATATCAAAGTGAACCGCGATTGTTAAGATATTTTGATAATAAAGAAAACTAAATCATAACATGTTTACTGTAGTTGGTTTGTTTATTAGTCATTTTGTGAGGATGGCTAAGGAATTATTTCTAAAGTTATAACAAGCACATTCTTGAGTTTTATCTTTATTTTTTAATCTTAGTGCTTCTACTATGATAAGAAACTTTATGCAAACAACAACAACAAATAAAAGCAATAGGAGCAACATTTATTTTATAATAAAAGTAATAATAATGAAAATAATAACAATAAAAATACCTAAAATATCATAAATAATAAAATCATAATATCATTATATTATCCAGGTTTATACAATTGTAATTGTTATCTCTAAAACTATGGTGATGGTTTATATTTTAGCCAATTTAAAAATCAACCTGTTATACACAGGGTATATACAAATGAAAATACCATATTGAACTCTGGTGTATTTTTGAAGAACATTTTTTTTCAAAAAGTATTAAAGTTTTTGTGTGCAAGAAAAGAAAACTAAAGGTTTTCAAATTAAAGAAAAATATGCATCATGTTTTCGATAATATTTTTGTGTATCTTTTTACGTAACATGGTTTGATCAATTTTTACAATGTTCCCCATCTAAATTGGCAGAAAAAAAGTTTATAAAAAATATACAGTTTTATAGGAAGTTAACAAATCTACTTTTAACGAAGCTTAAAATAAAAAGTTTGCAAAATAGTGTATGTATAGATTTATGTTCTGTTGTTGTTCATTTACTATAAACAAGTATATGAATTTGGAAATGGAAATTTAGTTCAACGCCAATAGCAATTGTGATAAAGTAATTTATAATCATTTAAAGTTCAGTCAAGCAAGCACCTGAAAATGGTCAACTTTTTGTTTAATATAGATTGCTGTTCCAAATACAAATTGCATATATGATCCAATACTTTATGTCAAGCAAGGTTCAAATTTTAAACCAAACAAACTTACTATCTGTTGATCTTCTACTTTGTTTTGAAGTTATGAGTTCAGATAGATATGTAAAACATTTAGTTTACAATTTTTTTTATAGCTTTTAAGCTCAAACTAGTAACCAATGATGTAATTTAAAAGTTTTATTTTTACAAATTTTAATTTGAAAGGAGAACAACATACATTATTAAATAAGCTATAATTTGAATGCATATATTTAAATATAGGGAAGATCAGTCAATCACCCCTTTATATGTATATATAAATATATATATATATTTTTTATATATGTAAGTTTTGATTTATATGTAAGTCTGTACAAAGATATAATTTTATATAGCTTTATATTTTATTAAAAGTATGTTTTAATTATATTTTAATATGTTTTAATTTATGTTTTTAATTTTTTTTTTTTTTTGATACAAAAGATGTTTTGTTCAAAGCAGATCAGCCAACCATATAAAGGACAGATAAAACTGACCCTCATCTCAGGCTTAAGGGTCAATTAATACAATTTTTCAAAAGCTTCTTTTGAAGTATGCAACCCTGATGTCTTGATGGGCACAATCACATGGAAGTAATGTAATATTAAATTAAATATTAAAGCATAAAATTTGCATTTACTTTACTTTGCTCTAACATCAAGTAATAATAAAAGTCCCAAACCATATTCAATTAAAAATAGGTTTTTAACTTGTAAGTGAATCAAATTAAATTAAACATTTTATTTTTGTTTTTTTAGATGTTACATATAGTGTAATACAAAAGGGATAAAATAATATCAAACAAAGTTGCTTGGTAGGGTATACTGGACCCATCCACTACTTCTAAAAAATCCTTAAAAACCACTATATAAAATAAAAAACAAGAGAATAGTAAAAGAATTCCTTTTATTTACATATTTAAGCAAACTGTTGATATAAAATTTTAACAAAAAAACATTTTAATTTTTTTTTATAAAACAAAATAGGGGTAATTTCTACACGTTTTCATAAAAAATTCGAACGTACTTCATACATAACATTTAGATCGCAAACTTTAGGGTCATACATAACATTTAGATCGCAAACTTTAGGGTCATCCACATTTACCCCACACATTGTGCATAAAATTGGTTTGTTTGCGGCATCACTCATTGTTGTTTTTTTCATGTCTTTTCCCTTCCCTTTACCTGAAATGAAGACAATTTTCGGCTTGGTTTTAGCCTAATTTTCTTTAGTGAGCCTAGCAATGCATTTATCTGAAGTGAGGCTTTCACCACACTATTTTTTTATGGCCTTTCCTCTCGTCTCCATTTGCCGCTTCCCTAGTTTTTCATGAAAAGGTGTGAGATTTGACCCATGACTAAAATTGTCTTATTTGGTTGAAATTATGAATAATTATATATCTAATACCATATACAGATATTAATACTACTAAATTAACATGTTGCCAAGGATATTTACAAGCAAAGGTTCAAATTGTGAAATTAAAAATTTTATCATCTCTGTACACATTAAACACATCCAAAAAATAAATGATGATTAATAAAAATATATTTTAAAATGTATTTTAAAGTACATATATGGTACTTAGATTGAAGATGATTTTGGATTTCCAAAAAAAGTTTCATAAACAAATTTCTAAATCAGTATGGATACAGGAAGCATATACTTAGTGAGAAACAGAAAGTTGGCAATCAAAAACATGAGCTAAAAGTGGTTCAAGTTTTTTTAGTTTATCTGTATTGCTCCATATCTTTTTAGAGGGTGGAATTTCCCCGGGGATAGAATTACCCCAGTCTAGCCTACAATTGTTTGAAATAAGTTTATATTATTTGCGTATTTAATTGCGACATTATTTTTGCCAATGCATTGTTTAATTTGATAAAGTTAGTACATTAACTATTTCTATTTGGTAACATTATGTTACTAATAACACAATTCAACTTTTTATCGTATTCCATAAATTTTTTTTTTTAATGTTGAAAGTAGCTTATAATTTTCAAAACTTTTAAATCATTTGCTAACATCTTTTAAAGAAATCTTTGTTGCAAGCCTTAACATTTTAATGGTACAAAGTAGGCGCTTTTTATCCCTTAACTTAAATGGAACTAAGTTTCCGATTTTGGCAACCTGGTTAATAATACTGATTCGTGGTGCAAATAAACCAGGTATATTTATATATTAGTGGTTAGAGAGCTTGCTTTATAAGCCGGGGATCTGGGTTTGAAATGAGCCTTTAATATATTTCGCGTCACAGTAAGGAAAGGCGCGTAAACTTCCTGGTTAAATCCATTTCCGCGGTGCTCTGTGACA